TTCATCCCAGACAGTGGGAGTGTCTCCCCAACATCCTGCCTGGAACTCTCAGGCCTCCCCTCTCTGGCAAGTTTAGGAGAGAAGGGCTTGGAGTTCCCCACCCTGGACAGAGGCTGAGGTTCCTCATCTCATGAGGCTGACCCCAGCTGGTCTGAAGGCCTGGAGTTATTAATAGCAGCCTGCAGGGCTTTGTCATCCAGCTGGTGACTCAGGGCTCTGGAGTCAGCCCACTCTGGCCATCTTGGTGGAACTTCCACCTGCCTGAGGGCTTTAAGGTCTCACCAGAGGACATGGTTACTGGGGGGGGGGGTCTGCTGGGGGCGTGTCCTGATCTCTGCCTCCTCTCCTAGGGCCTTGACTAAACTCTTTGTGGCACTGAGGGAGGGGCTGGGGAAGTGGGGAAGGGGATGTGGTAAACTGAACCACTTCCTGTCATTGCCCTGTTGAAAGCCAAGCTTCCCCCAAGTTCCCTTTGATGGGGGCTGGGAAGCAAGGTGGGTAAAGAAGGAAGTTGGAGGGTGGAGAAAGGTGGGTTCTTACTTAGATGGGCTCAAGCAATCAAGCCCTGGGGTCCCAGCTGGTTGTTGTCTTTCTGCTCCTCAGTGCTTGGAGCAGCCTGCTGTCCTAAGGCAATCACCCATCAGTCACAGTAAACGCTTACTCCCTTGTACCAGGCCCCTTATGTCTGTTAGCCCTTGTTTCTTACAACATTCCCATAAGGAAAGCACTGTCATTGTCCCCATTTTATAAAGGGGAAAACTGAGTTGCTGTTGGGTTGTCAATTGCTCTGGCCCACAGCAAGTCAGTGGAAGAGCTGAGATTTGAATGAGGGCATCTGCACACTGTCCCCATCTTGCTCTGTGACCACTCTTGGCCCCAGTTTCCTCAGCTGTGAAGTGGAGGTAAGTGGAGTAGATAAGCATATCTTCTTTTTATGGTGTTTGCCTTTCTAGTAATTAATGAATCACTCATTGTTTTCTCCACTCCTGAATACTCAGTGCGATGCACAAGGGGACAAAGATTGTCTTCATTACTACTATAGTCATAATTCTCAGCACATTGTGTGGCTCATAAAACCCAACAAGCATTTGTTGAGTAAATAATCTTTAAAGGTCTGAGGATCATCATCAATCTCTGAGCAATCTCATGAATGTTTTGGAGCCTTTATAAAGAAAAATCAAGCCAGGTGTGATGGCGCATGCCTGTGATCCCAGCACTCGGGAGGCTCAGGCAGGAGGATCGCTGTGAGTCTGGGCTACAAAGTGAACTCAAAGCCAGCCAGAACTGCACAGTGAGACCCTGCCTCAAAAAAAAAAAAAAAAAAAAAAAAAAAAATCTACATTACCAGTGGTTTGTTCCCTCCCACTCACCCAGAGGACATTTGGCAATGTTTGGCAACATTTCTGGTTGTCACAACTGGCAGGGGGAGGTGTTACTGGCATCTTGCGTGAAGAATGGCTGAGGGTGCTGCTAGACATACTTCAATGTGCAGGATGGTCCTTCAAAACAAAGGGCGATTCAGCCTCAAGCACCAAGAGTGTCAAGTTTGAGAAATGTGACATGCAAGCTTAGGTCGGACAGATTCCATACCATGGGCACAAGGTGGGTAGAGCTCATGGATGACCTAAAGCCCACATGTGCCACGCAGATGAATACCTCCTGGGTTGCAGGATCAAATGTGATGTTTCCATCTCTAAAACCATACTGCTCTTTGGCCCAACACTCCCCAGTCTGAAATATAGTTCCATAGGGTTCGCTATATCAATATATGATTCTCCATAAGCCTGAACTTCCTTTCTTATCTTTGGTGAGTGGCAAGGGATCAGAGGAAAAGGGCCCAACCCTTTCCCCTAACCCATGCCCTTTACCCTCTACACATAGATCCTCTTTTCAGGTCCCTGTAAATAATTAAAAACAACAGGCTTTGGGAGGCTTGAATTCTGGTTCCGTGCACTGACTCTCTACATGATCAGAGGCCAGTTCTTTCACAGTGTGGAGGCTCAGTTTCTTCTGAAGAGGGAAGGGGTACTCATCAAATCTTCCTCATAGATGGTGAGGATGAAATGTGAGGCTTATAGCAGTTTATCACAGTGCATACATGGGTCAGTTAAGAAAAACAACATATAAAGGAGGAAAGATTTATTTTTATTTATTTACCTCTTTATGTATTTAGTACAGGGTATATAGGATCTCACTACACAGATCAGACTTGTAGTGATCCTCCTGTTTTCAGCCTCCCAAGTGCTGGGACTACAGGCACACGCCACCACACCTAGTCTCAGTTGTTGTCTCAGCACGGCCCCGGGGGGCAGGGCTGCATGGCATACCAGGGATGGAACCCTGGTCCCTGAGCCAGCCTAAGCAGGTGCTTTAGTCCGCTGAGCTATCTGGCCGGCTCTGGAAAGATTTATTTTGGCTCACAGTTTCAGAGGACTCAGTCCATGGTCCATTGGCGCCTAGGAAGAAACATCAGGGTGGAAAGGCCTGGTGGAGGAAAACTGCTTGCTTATGGTGTCCAGGAAGCAGAGAAAGGGAAAGAGCCAGAGTGGGAGGGGCTGGGAGCCACATGGTGTCTCCAAGCTTACTCTCTTGTGACCCTCGTCCTTCATCAAGACCATCTCCTGTCCTTACCTCCCAGTAATGCCATCAAATTATGATCTTATCAGTGGACCAATCTGTCCACTGTCCAAAGTCCACAGTCACCCAGACCTCAATGCAACCAACCTTTTGTGGATCACTTTGCAGGCTAAGTCACACCAGTGCTCAACATAGCCAATCTCAAAAGATGCATCATTATTAGGGTTCAGAAGTGAAGTGATTTGCCTGAATTCCCATAGGATGTGTGATCAAAATGTAGAGTGAATGTTTAAAGTTTTTCAAAAATGTATTATAATAAAAGGCACACTGTCCTTTCCCCCCCCCCTTTTTTTTAAATTAATTTATTTATTTATTTGTGTGTGTAGCCAGCTCAGCCCACCAGGGGGCGGGGCTGGCTGGCATGTGGTGCTGGGGGATTGAACCGCGGTCCCTGATGCTTTTGCTAAGCTTGTTCTAAGTAGGTGCTTTAGACCACTGAGCCATCTCACCAGCCCCCTCCCCCTTTAAAATGTTTCTTCTTGCTTCAAACACACTATTTCCGTTGTTCTTGGCACTTTCTGAGGCAGTTCTGGAAGTCCTCTTTTATGTCTTTAGTTGTGCTGCTATGGCTGCTTAAATGTTATTTTTATTTTTGGCTGGTACAGCCCACCCTGAGGGGGGGCTGGTATGGCTTGTGGTGTCAGGGATCCAACCACGGTCCCCTGTGCCTGCCTAAGCTTGCCTAAGCAGGCACTTTAGACCGCTGAGCTATCTTGCTGCTTTAATGTTTTGAATCAATTCAAAGGATTTACCTTTCATGGTCTTCTTGACTTTGGGGAAAACCCAGAAGTCCTATGGTGCCAGATCTGGCAAATTAAGTAAATGAGGACCTTGACAGAAATCGACATAAATGTTCTGAATCCATTCAGGACATCAAGGCAGCCATGATGGCTCAACTAATGATACTCATGACAGAGAACTTCCAGAACTGCTTCAGAAAAAGCCAAGAATGATGGGATAAGTGTGTTCACAGTGTGAGGGCATTTTGAAGGAGATTAATGGCCATGAGTCCTTTACTGTAATACATTTAAACAATTTGTAATTAAACATTCACCATTTAATGGGGGGGCAGTGTGGAGACTGAAACTCAGAATTGAGAGACCACAAAGCAGACATTCATTAACTAGGAAACCTCAGAGCATCTGTTTTCCTGTAAGGGAAATAATTGTCTTCATCTCATTTATTAGGTAAATGTGTAAAGTGCCTGGCTCAGTAGGCCCTTTAAGTATAGTTCAATTGTCATTATTGTTTTTCTGAAATGAGGCCTTGCGGAGGGCAACTATCAGCCCCGCCACCCACTAGCAAGCTGGCTGAGAGGGAGGGAGGCTGCTGGTTATTGGCAGAAGTGGTCATAATTGGCACCGAAGCTTGTACTGGATACAGCAGGGCTGAAGGAGGGGAAGCACAGCTAAGAAATCCAAAGCTCCCAAACAAGGCACTTTGTTCAGGGCACATGGCAGCTGAGACCCCAGTCCTGGGATTCTAGGTGGCCATCCTCATCTTAGGCTCAGTAATTCAAAGCGATCAGCACCATCTACTGAGGACTTACAGTGTACACCGCACACAACACTAAGCAATTTATGTGCTTCATCTCATTTTATCAGCACTTTAGTTTAGGGACAAAAAGTCCATTTTTTTTTTTTTTTTTTTTTACAGCTGAGGAAACAAATTCAGAGTGATGGGGACATTTGCCTGAGGCCTTGAAGCAAGAGCGGGGAGCCACCTCTGCAGTTTTGCAGATGCTGCAGGCTCTTCCTTTGTTCTGACAAGGCAGGGGCTTTCCCTCATGGAGTTCCCCACTTCCTGCCTCAAAGAACCGAAGAGCTTCTTCCACTCCAGATGGAATGGGAAAGGAAGCTGAGTCAAAGAAGCCTGCCAGGGAGGAGAGTGAGGATGAGATAGGATTGAAGGCAGGGGTGTGCCTGGGGGTCTGGCCAGGGAGAGGGTGTCACAGAAAGACAAAGGTGGGTCAGGGACCCCAGGGAGTCGCTACAAAGAGGCCTTAGGGAGCCTTCCAGGCTTTCCTTGGTTAAACACTCCAGGCCTTCAGATTGAAGGCTGAGGGAGTCCTGTAGCTTCTTTCCTCTCCCTCCTTCTAGAAACTCTGCAGTTTGCAAAACCAGCCCCTCCTCTGGGCACCTGTGGTTTCCTGTGGGTCGGGGGTCCTGCTCAGCTAGGCAGTGGTCACTGTGAGCAGTGGGGACAGGAGGAGATGGTGTAAGCTGTTTCTTTGCCTTTTACTCCTGTGGCTGTCCAGCAACACACATGCACATGCACACACCCCCACACCCTGAGTCAGCACCAGGCAGCAGAGGGGGCGGGGTCACTGATTCAGTCCTGGTGCCTTCTTAAAGCCCCTGAAAGGGCCACTGCAGCAGACACTGCTACCCTCACCATGAGTCCCTGGCAGCCCCTGGTCCTGGTGCTCCTGGTGCTGGGCTGGTGTTCTACTGCCCCTCCAAGGCGCCAGCCTACGCTCGTGGTCTTCCCCAGAGATTTGAAAAGCTCCAGTCTCACCGACACTCAGTTGGCAGAGGTAGGCAAAGGCCACAGTTAGGAGCTGGAGAGGGTTGACCAGGAAGGTGTCCATATGCCAGAGAGGGCGGGGGACCTCAGGGATGCTTTAGGATGTGTGGAGGGGTGGCATGTCTGGGAAACGTGTCCAGGATAAGGCACCAGGGGTCCTGCGAAGACTCTGGGCAGTGTCAGCCAGGATGGGCAATATGGGTTTCCTAGGTGGGCAATGGGAAATAGTGACCGGGAGGGTGCTAAAAGGTTCTGGCTGGGCACAGGTTGGGAATGAGTAGGGGTAAACTAAGGGCGTCCTCTGGTAGGTTTGGGTTGGAGGCAACAGGGATGGGAAAGGGCTGAGGGTGTCTACAGGAGGGTGTCCAGGGTTAATGTCTAATGGGTCATCCCTGAGTGCCTAGAAGGACAGAGCAAAGGGTTTAGGGCTGTGGGACATCTCTGCCCTCCACCTGCAGGAGTACCTGTTTCGCTATGGTTACACTAATGTGGCTGAGATGCGTCATGGGAACAAGTCCCTGGGGCCTGCGCTGCTGCGTCTTCAGAAGCGGCTGTCCCTTCCTGAGACCGGTGAGCTGGACAGCACCACGCTGGCCGCCATCCGGACTCCACGCTGCGGTGTCCCAGACCTGGGCAAATTCCAAACCTTCGAGGGCGACCTCCAGTGGCACCACCGCAACATCACATACTGGTGAGCTGCTGCGCGGAGGACAGACATAGGCCTGCGTGGGCTGGGAGGGTGGGCTGTGCCGGTGTGGGGCGAATGCCATGTCCTTGGCCTGTTGGGATTTTGCTATTTAATATGTGGCTTCACCTCCAAGCCTCAGTTTCCCCTTTGCAGAAGTGATTGTAGCCATCCAAGTTCTCTTGTTAGGGCCATTTGAGGACGCAAATGGGGTGTGGGGCACGCGCCTTATAGACGGAAGCACCCACGGCAGGGAGCACTGCGTCTGCTGACATCTTCAAGACCCGAAGCGCTGCTGCGCCTAGCCCGATTTCCACTTAGGTCTCACCCTCCTTTCCCTTCCCCTACAGGATCCAAAACTACTCAGAGGACTTGCCGCGCGACGTGATTGACGACGCCTTTGCGCGCGCCTTCGCAGTGTGGAGCGCAGTGACCCCGCTCACCTTCACGCGTGTGTACGGCCGCGACGCAGACATCGTCATCCAGTTTGGTGTCGCGGGTGAGAACCGGAAATCTTTGGGCGAGGGCGTGCGAGGGAGGGGCGGGCACGGAGGGCGAGGAGGAGAGGGCGGTGCTGTCCCACAGCTCGGCTGCAGCTGCGCGCCCTTCTGACCCTTCCTCAGGCAGGGCGCCGGGCGCGGGGCTCGCGGGAGACTCCCGCTGGGGATTCCGCTCCTTTGGACAGCAGCAACAGCACCCGGCCGAACTCTTTAATTCTCCACCCGCTTTTTCAGAGCATGGAGACGGGTATCCTTTTGACGGAAAGGACGGGCTCCTGGCCCACGCATTTCCCCCTGGTCCCGGCATTCAAGGAGACGCCCACTTCGATGATGAAGAGTTATGGTCCTTGGGCAAGGGCGTCGGTGAGATCCTGAGCCACTCCAGAACTTATCTTTTTCCTGTCCTCGTCCCTTTTCCTCTCGCACCCGTCAACACCCGCCGGGACTCAAGTCCCCTTTTCCCACAGTGGTACCGACCTACTATGGAAACGCAAACGGAGCTCCCTGTCACTTCCCCTTTACCTTCGAGGGCCGCTCCTACTCCTCCTGCACCACCGACGGCCGCACAGATAACACACCTTGGTGCAGCACCACGGCCGACTACGACACTGATCGCCAGTATGGGTTCTGCCCCAGCGAGAGTGAGTGTGGGGCTGCTGCTGCAAGCCGGGGTGGGTGTCACTCTCTGCGGGGGTCTTTGGTTCTAAAGCCCTTCCCCACTTGTGCTTGCTGCGCAGCCTGCGAGACACTCACCCGCCCCCTGGGTAAGAAGGACAGGCAGGATGGGTTGCAGTCACTCCGTGGGTAACAGCACATAGCTCTTGGGAGTAATGGTGTGGCCTCCCCAGGACTCTACACCCAGCACGGCAACGGGGACGGCAAGCCCTGCGTGTTTCCCTTCACATTTGAGGGCCGCTCCTACTCCGCCTGCACCACGGACGGTCGCTCGGATGGCTACCGCTGGTGCGCCACCACCGCCAACTATGACCAGGACAAACTCTACGGCTTCTGTCCCACTCGAGGTGCGGCAGCCCCGCGGCCAGTTACAGCCCCGTTGTCCTATTGGCACTGGTCCCTGCAACCAGACTCCCCCACATGCAGCATTCTGTCTCCCTGCTCCTCCTGCGCTCACCATCATCACATCCTGGTTTCCAATGGGTCCTTTGCCCCGTGAGGATTTCTGGCATCAGGCTTTGCCCCAAGTCTCCTAGTCTCAGTGGCACCACAGCGCCCCCTAGGCTTTGAAAATAGGCCCTTAGGTCTCTAGCTCCTGCTCCTCACCCCACCACTGCCTTGTTTTACCTACCCATCCGTCTCACCCAATGCCTTGGGTCTCCCCAGCTGACGCGACTGTGATCGGCGGAAACTCGGCCGGGGAACTGTGTGTCTTCCCCTTTGTCTTCCTGGGCAAGGAGTACTCGTCTTGTACCAGTGAGGGTCGCCAGGATGGGCGCCTCTGGTGCGCCACCACCTCCAACTTCGACACTGACAAGAAGTGGGGCTTCTGCCCGGACCAAGGTGGGCAGGATTCTGAGTTTCCTGGGCTGTGGTCCCCACACTGATGGTATCCAGGTCTGGGGCCTTGGTCTAGTGCTCTCCTCTCAGGCTCTCGTCCCCCCCCCCTCCAGGATACAGCCTGTTCCTTGTGGCAGCACATGAGTTTGGCCACGCCCTGGGCTTAGATCACTCCTCAGTGCCAGAGGCACTCATGTACCCCATGTACCGTTACCTTGAGGGCTCCCCACTGCATGAGGATGATGTGAAGGGCATCCAACATCTCTATGGTGAGTAAAGTCCTGGAACAGGGATGGAAGGAGCAGAGGTTGGGGTGTGGCTCAGTTACGGGACTAGAGAATGGGTTGGGACCTCAACATCTCACTGGGACAGGACCTGGGTGCAGGTGTCACCTGTCAGTGCTTGGAGACAGTGCTGGACTCCGATCAGGATGGCAAGTTCAAACTGAGCCTGGGCAATTTAAAAACATAGTGAGACCCTGCCTCAGAAGGTCAAAACAAAGGAAAACAAAACACAAAAACACTAGAGTTGTAGCTCAGTGCACAGCCCTTGGGTTCAATCCCTAATACAGGGAATGCAGGAGAGATACTGAGGGTTGGGTATGTAGCTTAGTGGTAGAGCCCTTGCCTGGCATGTGTATTGTGGAAGCACCAGGGTTTTACCCCTAGTGGGGGAGAGAGAGGGATCTAATTCATAGTGTTTCTCCAAAGATCAAACCAGCCAATTACACGAGTTTATAAAGCTCTCAGCACTAAGTGTCATGGTGACATTCAAAAGACAGGCCTAGGGCTGGCCAAATAGCTCAGCAGATTAAAGCGCCTGCAAGCAGGCACAGGGCCCCCTGGAGTTGGATCCCCAGGGCTTTCTATGCTGGTCCCACCCCCGGGGCCTGCTGAGATGGCAGTTGAGACTGGGCGTGGTGGTGTGTGCTGTAAACAGGTATAATCCTAGCTCTTAGGAGGCTGTAAACAGGTGGGTCACTATGAGTCCAATCTAGTAGTGAGACCCTGTAGACCCTTATCTAAAATACAAAAACAGTCCTGTTGTCCTGGAAAGGGGGCAGGTGCTGCCTACTTTCTATCCACAGAGCTCAACCCAGGGCCTGAAGCAGCCAGGGATGGAGGAACATGGCTTGAATATATGCCAAGTGTGGGGGCAGCTACTCGCTTGCCTGTGGAGAAATGACTTCAATGTCTAAGCGAGAAGCGTGTGCACCAGCGCAAGGCTCGCTGGTAATGTGGGGGATTAGAAGTGCAGCCTACAGATGTTTCACCCAGGATCTCTTCCTAGGTCCTGGCCCTAAACCTGAACCAAGACCTCCAACCACCACCACTAGCACTACCACCAGCACCACCGCCACGCGTCGTGAACCACAGCCCACGGCTCCCTCGACTGTCTGCCCCACTCTGCCCCCCATTGCTTACCCCACAGCCGGCCCAACTGGCCCTCCTGCACCTGGTCCCACAGCCCCCACCTCAGCTGGCCCTACAGGTCCCCCCACAGCAGGCCCCCCACCGGCCCCTACGGAGTCTCCGGATCCAAAGGACGATCCGTGCAATGTGAACATTTTTGACGCCATCGCAAAGATCCAGAACGATCTGTATTTGTTCAAGGATGGGTAAGCCACCAGGGATGGGGATGGGATATGTGGGTGGGGAAAGAGGGTGGAGGATTCCCCCCCCCGCCTGTCCCTCCCTCTCCGCCCACTGGCCCTCTGCTCAGGGTCAGCGCCCTGCTTTTGTCTGGCTCCCAGGCGGTATTGGAAGTTTAATGAGGGCCGAAGACGTCGGCTGCAGGGCCCGTTCCTTATCTCCAACACATGGCCGGCACTGCCCGCCAGACTGGACTCTGCTTTTGAGGATCCGCTCTCCAAGAAGATTTTCTTCTTCTCTGGTTAGTTTCTCCTCTTTCCCCCTTCACCGTCTTCATCCTGCACCAGTCAGGGAAGATCAACCTAAGACAATCTGAGAATCGGACGACAATCAGAAAAAGCGCGCCCCCTCCTGGCGGACGCAGTTTAACACGTTTAGGGGGGTGCAGAATTTCTGTCTTGCGGCTCGCAGTGCCGTCGCACCACCGAAACCGTGGATCTGCCCTTTGGGCACAGAGATCGGGAACACGCCGGACCAGGAAAAGGCTTCGCAGCGCCCCCAGGTCGACGTGACCTTGACCCTTCTCCCCTGCAGGGCGCCAAGTGTGGGTGTACACAGGCGCGTCGGTGCTGGGCCCGAGGCGTCTGGACAAACTGGGCCTGGGCTCGGGGGTGACCCAGGTCACCGGGGTGCTCTCGAGAGGCGGCGGCAAAGCGCTGCTCTTCAGCAGGGAGCGCTTCTGGAGGTGAGAGCACCGCGGCCGCCGCCAGGGGGAGCCCGGGTGCCACCGCCCGCCGCTGGCTCAGCACCTGTCTGCTCCCGGCTTGCTGCAGGTTTGACGTTAAGACGCAGAGGGTGGATTCCCAGAGCGTCACTCCGGTGGACCATATGTTCCCTGGGGTGCCCTTGAACATGCACACCGTCTTCCAGTACCGAGGTGAGGGGTGCACATGCGGGCGGGGGAGGGTCTCTTTGTGAGAGCTGCCCACGCCCGGCTGCCCTACCTCGTGATTGGCCAAATTCCATGAAAACAAGAAAAAGCCTTGGAGACGGGGCAAACGTCTCCGCACCGATAGAGACAGAGACCTTCCTTAGATCATATAGGGACTCAGGGGCACAGATTTCCTGCCTCCCCTGCCAGAGGCTGCCACAGGGCATGTGGTTTGCAAGTGCCTATACTGTGCCCAAGCACCGTGCTCCCCCGGGAATACAGTGAGGGACAAGACGGTGCTTAGCTATGTTTCTTTGGACAAATCCTGCTACATTCGCAGCCTCAGTTTTCCCAACTGTAAACTGGAGATGATAGCTCTCTTTGCTTTCACTTTTTTGTCCTGTCCGTTGATAAGGTCTGTGGACTCTGCTACCAGAGTTTATGATCTTTCACTAACGCTCTTGCAAACACCATCCAATACAATTGTTTGTTTGGTTATGGGACTGGGAATTTTTTTTAATAAAAAAAATTGTGGGGCCAGGGAGATGGCTCAGTGGAATAAGTGCTTCCCTGGCAAGCGCAAGGGGCCGAGTTCAATCCCCAGTTCCGAAAAAAAAAAAAAAAAGCAAAAAAGAAAAAATGTACTTAGAAGCATCTAGAATGTTAACAAAACCATTGCAACTTTTTTTTTTTTTTTTTGTGGCGGCTGGGAGTTGAACCCAGGGCCATCACACTGAATTACATTCCCAGCCCTTTTGTTTAGTATGATTTTTTGAGAAAGGATCTTGCTAGGTCCCTAAGTAACCCCGGCTAGGCTTGACGTTGTGAACCTGCCTCAGCCTCCTAGAGTGCTGAGATTACGAGATTACAGGTGTGTACCACCATGCCCTGCTCCAATCCCTTTAATGTATACCCAGAGAGTAGGGAGAGGTTAGAGGCAGGAGCGCAGGGCTGGGTCCTAGGAATGATTCCAAATCAAGGTCAAAGAAACTAACAAAATCCTGTCTCCCCTTCCCCCTCATTTTTTTTTTTTTTAAACTTTGGAGACCGGGTCTCACTATGTAGTTCAGACTGGCCTGGAACTCACTATGTAGCTCAGGTTGGCCTCAAACTTGAAGCGATCCTCCGTCCTCTTTCTCAGCCTCACGAGTGCTGGGATTGCAGGAGTGCACCACATCCACTCCCTCCCCCTTCTAAACCTCTGTGTTCTAGTCTACTCCTGTCATTCACTATGCTCCACCTACACTGCTGTCTCCTTCAGCAGATCAAGGTCACTCATAGCTTAGGGCCTTTGTGCCAGTTGTTCCGCTATCTGGAAGGCTCCCCCCTAAACTGTTACAGGCTGCCTCTCTCTCATCCTTCGTGTCCCAGTGCTAAGGTCACCATTTCAGAAAGGCCTTTCCAGACGGTCATTTTCTGTTCACTTGTTTGTATTTTCTCCACCTCTGTATACACTGTCTGAATCAATCTCATTTATTTTCATGTTTGCTTGGTTAATTGTCCCTCTTGCCTCACTAGAGTTTTAGCAGCAAAAATTCTGAGATAGTGCCTGGATTTTTCTCTGATGTATTTCTGTGCTTGACACATAGTAGGCACTCAGAATTTCTTTTGTGTGGTTTTCTGGAGATCAAACCCAGGCCCTCAGGCACGTTAGGGAAAAATGCTCTACCTCTGAGCCATATTCCCAGTAAAATTTTTTGAATGAATGCATAGATTTGCTCAATGAATGAATATTGAATGAATTGTTCTGAGCATTAAGATAGGCCATTCATTCATTTATTTGCTGATTCATTCATAAAATGTATACACAGCACCTACTGTGTGCCAGGTTCTGTGCCTTCCAGCATCTCACAGGCAGGTGAGGGAGATGGAGGGTCATGTGAAAAGCCTTAGAAAGACCCAGAAGAGCCAGGGGGGATGATTGTAAAAATCTTGCTCTTGTCTTTGTACATGTACGTGAAAAGGTAAGACTCACCCCTCTCATGCCTGCTTATCTCCTGCAGATAAAGCCTACTTCTGCCAGGACCGCTTCTACTGGCGAGTAAGTTTCTGGAATGAAATGAACCAGGTGGACGAAGTGGGTTATGTGACCTATGACATCCTGCGCTGCCCGGCCTAGGGCTTCCATCCTGCTCAGCAGTGCGGGCTGGTTCCTGGGGGACCGTCCCAGCAGAGAAGAAGCCAGTTTGCCGGATACAAACTGGTGATCTTTTCTGGAGGATGGGGAGGAGTGGAGAGGGGCTGGGCCCTCTCTTTACACCTTCATTTTTTGTGAGACTATTTCTAATAAACTTGGATTCTCTAACTTTTATTTTTTTTAATTTATTTATTTATTTATGTGTGTGTGTGGGGCAGCTCAGCCCACCAGGGGGTGGGCTGGCTGGCATGTGGTGCTGGGGGATTGAACCGCGGTCCCTGTGCTTGCTAAGCTTGTTCTAAGTAGGTGCTTTACACCACTGAGCCATCTCACCAGCCCTGGACTCTCTAACTTTTAGAAGTAGCTTTTATTTAGGTATGCATATTCATATGTATGCATGTAACTGGTAGGGCATTTTTCTACACCAGGCAATGTTTCAGGCTTTTTGTAAATACTAGCACATTCAATCCTATTAGGAAGGTATTATATGAGTGTTTCTATTTTATAGATGAAGAAATGACCAAGCTATGTATTTATCCACCAACGATTTGTTGAGCCTCTATATAGAACCAGGCTATGTGCTGGGCACTGGGGATAGGAATGAATTGGACTCTCATCCTACACTCAAGGACCTCTCAGTGGCCCCCAAACTTTAAAGCATAGAATAGCATTCTGCTAAAGCCAGCCTGCAGGTTCTGCCCCTAGAGAGACCAACCTAGTTACCAGGGTCACCCTGTGGCTCATGAGTGTGGGATTACATTTGAGTTCATAAAGGTGATCCTTTATTATCCTATAATTGTGTGTGTGTGTGTGTGTGTGTGTGTGTGCGCGCGCGCGCACATGTGCACACACATGTGATTCTGTGCATTGTGATGGAAGTCAGAGTGTATTTCCTGGGCAAAATGAACCCTCAAGTGGAACCAACCTAGGAAGGATGAGCAAGAGTGTCTTCTTGTGTGAGTAGGACAGTCTCCTGAAAGTAGCAACCTACCGCCCAGGCTGCGTGCATGCAGTGACGTATAGGAGGACACTGATCAACACTTTCTGTATGGTGAGAAACGGAGCAACTTGCCTGCCCCGGTAAAGTGTGGACACAGACAGGGCGGCAGGAGCTACTGTGCACGGCACCATGTCCCACGCCCCACTTCATGTCCTTTGTGAGTTAAAGCAATCCTATGGGGCAGGCACTCCTGTTCCCTTACCCACACCACTGCGGTGGTTATTGCCAACTCCCTTTCTACAGAGGACAAGCTAAGCACCGGGAATGACAACTCACCCAATGCCCCACAGCTGGTGAGCAGTGGCTGCAGGCTCTGAAAGTGGGCTCTAGACGCAGATGTTGGGGGAAGAGAAAAAGCGGGATGTTTGGGAGAATGGCAGATGGCTCTGAACTACACAAGGGTGTGGTGGTGGTGATGGGTGGGTTCTGGAGTGGTCAAGGTAAGAGAGATGGCCTGGGCCAGGTGAAGGCAAGTCAGACCCCCACAGGACGAGGAGTACAGATCTGACATCACAAGGCAGGGAACGAGTGGGTCGGTGAGCAGAGAGCTGGGCTTGGTTGGGACTGATTATGTTTTGGAACTTTTAGATAATATGTTTTGGAGTTTAAGGAGAGGTAAGGGAACATCCCCCCCAAGAGTCCTTTGGGGGTCTCTATCTCCTAGCGCCTGTAATCCCAGCGCTTAGGAGACTGAAAACAGCTCATCTAGCTCTTGCCCACAAGGGAATCACTCTCCTTGGCAAACAAATATCCCTTAATACACTTCTTCAAAATCTCTCTAGGTCTGGGAATATAGCTCAGTGGCATAAGTGCATATCTGGCAAGCTCAAGGTCCCAAGTTCAATCCCTGGTACCACCAAACAAACAACAACAAAAATAAAAACAACTGTCTTAACCTCTGTCTCTCTCTAGATGCTATTTTATTTTTCCAACACCACCCATTCATAGTAGAACTTCCTGTTTGGTCTTCATGTGTGGTCTCTAGTTACTGACTCTAGTTCCTCAACTTCCCTTATCCTTTCAGGCACCCAGCCTGCCTTTCAGCCCACTGTGCCCCTGGATTCACTGTCACTAAGCCACCTTTTACCTCCTGCAGCCAACACCACAGCCATGCCTCTGCCCATGCCCTACTGTCACTCCTTACACTAGGCAGAATTGACCTGCCCACCCTCCCGAAATTCTTTTCTCCCTTGGTCTCCCAGATCCCTTGACTCCTAGTCTTTCTCCCACCATGCTGGCTGAATTGTCTTACTCCCAACCTCTAAATGATGGAGTGCTTTTATCCTTTCATCCTTCTGTTAATTCATAGCTTTTTTGGTGGTGGTATTAGGGATTGAACTCTAGGCCTTTGACACTGAGATACAACCTGACACTTTTCTAATTTTTTTTTTTCCTTTTTTTTTTTCTTTGCAGAACTGGGGATTGAACTCAGGCGCTTGCGTTGCCAGGGAAGCACTTATTCTACTGAGCCATCTCCCCGGCACCCTAATTTTTTTTTTAATGTGTTTAGTACAAGGTCTATAGGGTCTCACCACACAGATCAAACTCATAGTGATCCTCCTGTTTTCAGTCTCCCAAGCACTGGGATTACAGGTACGCACCACCATGCCCAGTCTCAGTGGCCATCTCAGCAGGCCCCGGGGGTGGAGCCGGCATGGCTTGCTGGAGATTAAACCCCAGTCCTTAAATATGCCTAAACAGGTGCTTTAATCTGCTGAGCTATCTGGCCAGCCCAACACTTTTCTAAGTTTTATTTTGAGATAGGTTCTCACTAAGTCACTAAATGGCGTAGGCTGGGCTTGAACTTTCAATCCTCTTGCCTTTGTCTCCTAGAGTGCCAGGATCACACCATCTCCAGTTCTTTTTCTTTTTTTTTTTTTTCCAGAACCGGGGATTGAACTCAGACCACGGGAAGCACTCATTCTACTGAGCCATCTCCCTGGCCCACCACCTCCAGTTCTGAAACTCAAAAACTTTCAGAACATCACCAAATATACCCTGATGGGCGACATGGACACCCCAGGGGGAACATTAATATAATAAGCATATGGACAAGTGCACCTACTCCAAGTATACACTGTAGTATGTATTTCGCAAACAATGCAACAAAACATTATCAGTGCCTTGGAAGACCCTTTAAAGCCCCTTGCAGTTACTGTTTTCTTCCCATGAGCCACTACTACCATTACTTCTAAAGTTCACATGGACTTTGGCTGTTTTTGCACCATTTATTTGTTTTTGTTTTTATGAGTACCTTGTGCTTGCTAGGCAGGTGCTTTGCCGCTGAACTATATTCCTGGCCCATGTTATTTATTTTGGTTTTGTTTTGACCTGCTCTGCTTGCCCTGAGGGCAGGGCTGGTGCTGTGTGTGGTGACAGGAATTGAACTGTGGTACCCTGTGGCTGCCTAAATTTACCTAAGCAGGTGCTTTAGACTGTTAAGCTATCTCACCAACCCCACCCCCTGCCCATGTTATTTACAGTGTTATAAGGTTTGTAGTACTCTTTCCTATCCAGTTTCTTTTTTTTTGGGTGTAACATTATATTTGTGAGATCCATCCATACTGTTTTGTAAATTATGGATTGTTTATTCTCAATGCCATGCAGTGTTTCACTGTGTGAATGTACTACAATTTATCTAGTTTACTATTGATAGATATTTGGGTGTTTTCCAATTTAGGACTGTTATAAATAATGTCACTGAAGAGTGTGTGTGTGAGAGAGAGAGAGACAGGGCCTTGCTGTGCAGTTCAGGATGAGCTTGAGCTTACTATGTAGCCAAAATTGGCTTTTTTTTAAATTTTAGGGAAGGGTCTACAGGGTCACACTACTAGATCAGACTCATAGTGATCTGCCTATTTACAGCATCCTAAGAGCTGGGATTACAAGCGCGTGCGTGGGAGGCTGACACGGCAGACCCGGGGATTGAATCCCTGGCCCCTGCACCTGCTTGCAGGGGCTTTAATCCACTGAACTATTTCACTGGCCCTTCAAAATTGGCTTTGAATTCATGATCCTACTGCCTCAACTTTCCAGGTGCTGGGATTTTGGTGTGCACCACACCTGTGAAAATGTGTGTGTGTGTGTGTGTGTGTGTGTGTGTGTGTGTGGTTTGTGCTACAGGGGATGGAACCCAGGGCCTTTCACATGCTAGGCACATGCTCTATCATGGAGCCACTCCCAGCCACTAAGAAGACTGCTACAGATGTCTTTTAGTGCCCATGGGCAGCCACTGCTTTTGGGTTTATACCTAGGAGTAAAATTGTTGTAGTGAAAGATATGTCTGTGTGCATCCAGTTTTAGTAGATGCAACTCAAAGTAGTTTTGCCTGTCTACACTCCCATCAGGATTCCTCTTGCACGCTCCTCCATAGGCATCAGATGCCCTCTGGAACCCCTTAGCAGTCCTGCTGGCTCCAGCTAGTAACTTGTCTGGAATCCCGTGACTGCCTCCAATCTGGTGGTTGTCATCCCCTCCCACTTGGGGACTTGCAGGGAGCTCCTAATTAGACTCCCAGGTTCCACACCTGCTCTTCGTTAGTTTTCCGTTCACCACCAGCCAGATTGACTGATCTTGTTAAAATATAAAGCACATCACATCATTCCCTTGTTCAAAAACTTCCAATGGTTTTCCTTGTGGATTAAAAATAAATCCAGGAGAAAAGAATCCCCAGAGACTTCAAAAGGACATTTGATCTGCCTTCTGCTCTCCCTGATCTTCTATCACTCTGTTCCACACAATGGCCATCTTGCTGGTTCTCTAATATTTCATGTTCCCTCTTGCTCCCAGTCCCTTGCAGTTGCTCTTTCTTCTAACAGAGAGTGTCCCTCCCCAGTTTCTTGGATAGCTGGCTCTTCTCATCAGTGAGACCTCCACTGAAATGTCATAAGAGGGCAAGAAATCAATCAATCCTTTCCCTGTCGCTATTGCCTGAAGCACCTGAGAGCTACCAGGTGTTAAGGTTTAGGGGGCCCCAGCAAAAGTGGGCGCGGTCTGCAGGAGCTACACTCTAGGCCCTCATGAAGGATGACTCTTAGCTGGGTGGGCTTCTCGGGCACTTGGGTGGGACCGACAGCGCAGGGCCTGGGAACCAAGTGGCCACGTCCAGGGCGGCTGGGCGCAGCGGGCACTAGGACCCTGAGCCGTGCGGCGCGGCGGGCAC